TAATTGCCTACCCTCTTGGAGTACCGGTCTACGCCCTTGTAATAGCCCCCCCTATATTCCTCACTTCACTCCGTAACCCCCACACACTGTAATTACCGTTAACCGAGCTAAGCATTGTCTTTGGCCCTCTGTAACGTAACTGTAACTGTAACTAGCGCGCTTTCTCTGTCCGTTTTCGGGCTACTGGTAAGTACAGTGGTCACTATGCAAGTGCGAAACAAATACTACCAAAACAAAACCGAAAATAATAAAGTCAGTTCAACCTTCTTAGTTTAAATATTTTTGCTCCATGAACAGCCTCTTTGCCTTACTCTTTGGAGCTTTACTTGCTGGGTTCGCTGTACAACAAAAAGTTTTTTTTAAGTAGTATCAAAGTTCTTACTAACTAGCGTCCCCTGTACAACATGTGAGGCATGAATGGAATGGAGTGCGAGAGGATTGGCGACTAGACAAAGAGTAGGCCGATGGCCCACCCTCTTAACCACCCCCCACCACTTCCCCTGATAAGACGGAAATCCCGAAGAGAGTGGGGAGAAAAGAAAACAAACTGTTGGCGGCTGCTTTCTCAACGAGAAGAAAAAGAGGAGGTAACGCTACGAGAGGGACCAGAAGGAGTACGAAGCGAGGGGGAGGCAAGGCCGCAATTAATTACAAACTTACCCAGCTGTCCCCACACGTAGCCCCCTGTTTCTTCTTGTACTTCCTCCTTTGCCTTCTCCTCTCTCCCGCTTTGTGTCTGTATGCGAAAAGTGGCACGTATCAATGTTGAAAGCATAAAAACACAAAGAGACCAACAAAAGTCTCTCTTGAAAGCAAAAAAAAAAAAAAAGTAGGAGACACAGCTGAAGAAGAGGAGAGAAATGCAAATGCCTACGCTGAAAAAAAGACTTTAATAGTAAGTCGAGTAGAAGTTACTAAGCAATGTGCTCAAATCCCATCGCTGCCACATAAATTTTAATATTTTTCATCCTAGTAAGTATAGTTTCGACACTTCTAACACGTCAAATTGTATTTTTATCTGATCCAATTGATCGTTATATGCATACATATGTATGTATGTATGTATGTATGTATGTACATTACCCTTTTTTCTTGTTGCTTGCTTGACCAAATTATAAATACCCGTACAAACATGTGCTCAAGTGTAAGAAACAACAACCACCTTGGTAAAAATGGCAACTGTCTGTATGTATGTATGTACATACATATGTATGTATTAATGTACATATGTTTTATTTTGTTTTCTGGTAGACAGATGAAATCCCCTGAAAATAGAGTACTAAAAAATCTAAAAATGCTCCAAACACAAAGTCATTTCTTAAATGCAGCCAAATCAGCAAACATAAAGGGATGTGCTTGTGTGTGTTTGCGAGTGTTTGCAGGCCGACAACCATGCGCAGGCTGAAAATCTGCTGACGACGCTAAGGCGGCATTTATCACTCCAAAAAACGGGGGACTCCGAGGGGTACGCGCATTGGGAGTCATTGATTTTCGTTTATGAGTCGAGCAGGCGACGCTCTCACTTTTTATACGTTCATTCACACGCGGCACGGTGGGGCAAAAGCTAACAAAAAGAATGCCATTTGTTTTGTTAGGCAAATGCGCAAATGCAAATGAAGCGCTTGTACGAAAATTATTTTTTTAAGTAACGACGAAGTAACAATTAAAGAATATAATCTAGAATTGACAATTGGTTACATTTAATGCGTATTTGGTAAAAAGAAAATTTCAATGTGTCAGTCCGTGGGCTTTAAAATAGGGTTGATACTGACCTAGGGTTGTTCTCAACTCTACTTACCTGTGACTTAACACTCTTGCCAGGTACATATTGTAAGTGCAGTATTTATGTGAGCACGTCTTTAAGACGTTGGATAATCCGTAACAATATCCGTCATCAAAAATAATCCGCTCATATGTTGTTACTTTTCAAAGGGTTTTATGGTAACCCAACGTAACTTATCTTAACTAACAAGCTAAGCCATAACATTTTGAATATGATAAATTTATTTAAAAGTCTGGTTTTTTTGGTAGTTTGGTTTCATTAGTTTATTAGGAATGATAAATCCTAAAAAATATTTAATTTTATCATCATCAAAATTGTACTTATTCTACTTTAAGTCCTGAATATCCTTCGAGTTTACGTTTTTATCCCACTGTCCTCTCCGCTTTAAGTGCCCAATGCAAAGAGAGCGGCTTGGTCAAAGAGAGCGAAAAGAGCGCATTATAGAGACTGTCAGGGAACGGGGACGGAGAAAGGGACAACGGAGAAGGAAGAGAATGGGGATTTTAAATACATATGTATGTTATTGATAATTAAAATTGAAGCCGAATGCAATTTGAATTTGCATTTGACTGGCTGAGAATCGTTATCGTTTTCACTTCCCCTATTTTGGTTTTTCTTAGCTTGTGATTTACGTTTACCTGCGAAATAAAATGAAATAAAAGCCAGGTCAAAAGCGCGTGCTAAAGAATTAAAGGCAATACACGAAAAACATCTCGAAATAGAATTCAAACAAAATGAAAAAAGTGAGGTGCTGATTTCGCTGCCCGCGTCGACGTCGACTGCGCTGCTCGCAGGTAGCAGTTTATGCATTTGTGTGTGTGTCCGTCGGTTTTTATTTACTTTGTTCTGCTTGCTTTTCCAGTCTCTCTGTTTTTTTCGGGTTCTTCTGTTATCGGGCAGCAAATTGAAAGCAATAAATACTTAATTGTTAGCTTGTTGTTCTTGTCGTTGTTGTTATTGTTGCCGCTTAATTACGTAATTCCGAATTATCTGGGAGACTTGAAGGAAATGCAAAAGAGCGCCAAGCGTGTGTAAATGCAGTGAAAGAGAGGGGAAAAGGTAGAGGAAAGGCACAAAAGAAATCAAAATGGCTTGTTATTAAAGCATAAAAGGCCGAAATGAAAAGACGGGGATAACACAAAAAAGATGGCCAAATAAAATATTAATAATTGGTTAAACTACACAAATCAATTTAAATCATTAAACTGTAATTCCTCCCAAAAGCTAACTCTCAAAATAAACATTGAATATAATGTGTAAATAAAATAAAGAAAACCTTTCAATGTTAAATAATTGAAACAATATAGGGAATATCGCACAGAGTTTCGTAATTTTTTCCATCTATAGTTTATTCCATCAAAACTAACAAACTCTTATCTTAACAGGGTAAGAACATTAGAAAAATAATCCTAAAAAAATGGTATACATATGTGCATCGGTACTAACTCAATTAAAAATTTCAAATTAGGCAATAAAATTATTCATTTCTAAAAAAAATATTTTAACCCCTTAGTTCCTTTTCATTTTTATAATAAAACAAAGGGAGAGAGCGAAGAATGCGCGCAGGGAAAATGTTTAGAGTTTATTTGCCCACAATTCTGACACAATTAGCTGATAAAGTTCTTGGATGTTTTTCCCCGCAGCCTCTGTCAAATGTGAATCATCATCATTGGAACTTTTGTTCCGGGGAATTTTAAATATAAATAAACCAAAACAAAAACTATACTTTTTTTGATAAAAATTTTGCACAAACACAAGCAAACAATATGTCGTCATCGTAAACAACAAGAAGAAGAGCAGACGTCATCGTCATCGGCGCCTTAATAATAGTACACAAAAATGATAAACAAATATCTCCCCACTCGCAATCCCATTCCTCTCCCTCCCACTTCCCTTTTCCACCTACAACGCACGCTCATGAACCCTTCCTTCTCTCTCGCACTCGCATTCTCTTTGTTCAGTGCAAATTTGCATTGTCTCTTTGTGCCCGCACACATGCAAACATGAATGTATGGAAGCATATGTATGTGCACACATAATCACGCACACTGATGAGTGCCAAAACTGACCTCACAATTGTTGTTTTATGATTATTTGTGCCTGGGTTGTTGTTGTTCTGGAGCATTTTAAAACTGTAAAATGAGTTGAACTTGTTGGGGGGATTCAGATTTAGGTTTTGATCTTTTGGGATAATCTCCTATAAATCTAGAGTGTTTTGTGTACCTAAAACAATTACAGTTAACTGAAGAGTAATACATTTTTTTAATGAAATTTATACCATAAAAATACAATATAAAAGTGCCACAGGAAGATGTGTTAGTGACAACTAATATTTATTTAATCTAATAAATAAGGTAAGGGGATATCAAACTATTTTAACAGTTAAATTGATTCAAAATCTAGATAACATAATTTTTTTAATTAATAAGACAAGCATTTCTGATGTGGCTCTCTTAATTGTTACACTAGAAAAACTAAATGATTTAGGAGGAAACTATTTAACCTCCTCATGGTTTGGACTTGAATTATTCCATTCCATTCGTGTCTATCATCTGTAACTTAGTAATTACCTCAAGTGAGAATGATTGCCCTAGGAAGTATTTTGCATTTTCGAATCCAGCCAAAGTCACTTTTTTTTTTACATAATAAAGATCCAGCAACAACTATGCGGATTATGCTCATCACCCACAACCACCCACAATAACACAAATACACCACCCACTGACCAGCGTTTTGCTTCCGTTACAAATAAGCAAAAATCTTTTCGACACATACACATATATAGTTCTACAGTGGAGGCAGTAAAAATAGTAATAAAAAAAGAGTTTGTTTTTGTGTCAATTTAGTGCTCAATGTGTTTTTTTACTTTATTTACTTTGTATTTTACAAAAAAACAAGGTTTTACCAGGAAGAAACTTTAAGCTAAAGATGATATTTAGTTTGAGTCTTTAAAATCGAGATGTTTGAATGTTTTGCAATGACAGATATGCTATTATTTCTGCCGCATCTGTGTATACGCAGTACGCACGTAGGCCAGTGGCGCTCTTGCTCTTAAGTGCTCTCTTAGGACGCTCTCTTAACGCGAGAGCGCCGCCACTTCCGTTTCGACGGCGAACATCTGTGCGCTCTGCTCTGCCGACGCGAGCAGCGACTGCGAACAGCGAACGTCTTTCATTCAGCGTTTGCGTTTTTCACAACGAAAATTTCATGACGAAAATTTCAATTCGTTTCGAACGCGAGGACCGTGCGGACGTGTGCGGCTGGAAAAGCAACGGTGGAAAGCCCATTACTGACTTCTCTTACGCTCTCGCCGCCGTAGATTCCCCTCACCTCTAACCCTCAACAGGCGGCCAAAAAAAAACTTTAAAAAATATAAACAATTAAGTCTGCGACGCCTCTCCGCCTTTGCTGTTTTGACTCAATTGTGTGCCTAAACAAAAACAACCAACAAACAAACAAAACATAACTTATCTATTTTTGTTGAATTTTTTTTGTGTTACAAACGAAAGCGAAAAACAAGTGCAAATTTTGATCAAACCCTACAAATTCAAAAGTCCTGGATTATTTTGAATTTTTGGCAAAAAAAAAAACAAGACAGCAATAAATACGGCAGCTTCCACTAACGGTAAACAGCCAAGTGAAATCTCAGGCAAAAAATCAAATGAAATAAAGAAAAGAAAAGAAAAAGCAAAGGCAGACAGAAGAAGAAGAAGCAGCACCAGCAGCAGCAGCAAGTGCAAGAGAGCAAAAGCAAAAGAGCTGTAAAAAGAGAGCAGCCAAAAGAGCGTGTGTGTGTGCGTGTGTGTTACTTCCTTATTTGTAAAAATTTATTTTAAATAAAATAAAATATCAAATTGAAAATCAAAGTAAGAAAAATCAAAGACAAGCCAAGGAAACAAAGTAAGCCACGCTTGCTCACTCGTTGAACAAAAAAATAACGCACAATGACCTTGCCTACAAACACACACGCATCTGCAAACGACGCCGGCAGCGGCAACCACAACAACAACGGCAGCGGTAACAACAACAGTGACGAAGATTCAGACATGTTTGGACCACCCCGCTGCTCCCCGCCCATCGGCTATCATCATCATCGATCCCGAGTGCCCATGATCTCACCGAAATTGCGACAACGTGAGGAGCGCAAGCGAATCCTTCAGCTGTGCGCCCACAAGCTGGAGAGGATCAAGGACTCAGAGGCGAATCTGCGACGCAGCGTCTGCATCAACAACACATACTGCCGACTGACCGACGAACTGCGTCGCGAGAAACAGATGCGTTACCTCCAGAATCTGCCCAGGTGAGAATCCAATAACTTAATTTAGAGTACTGCCTTCCCAAAACCTACAAGTCATAAAATAGTGATATTAAAAACTGCTGCCAAACTCGGTGATATTGCTTAATAAGATAAAATATATTCCAATACATTTCGCTAGAAATCTTGATATTTTCCTGTACAACAATTCCACCAAAGTCATTTAGTTTACTCAGAAAACAGAAGATACATTCTCTTAATTACGACCTGTACCCATAGTATTTATAGAAAAATGGAAAGCATAAACCAGTGACCTTAATTAAAAAACTACCAAGATTAGTAAAACTAACTAGTTGCTTAACATCGTCTTTATATAAATTTTTACCTAACCCTCCTCAGTCGGGAAGTTAATGGTGTTACAGAGAAACAGTGTCTATAAACAGTGATGGAGAGCAAAATTAATTAGAGAGTTATTAGGTAGTTTGTGAGGAAATAAATAGTATTATCAGAGTTATAATTAATATAACCTGTGATATAGCTTGTAAAGATAGTAATATTATTGGAAATTATTGTGACATTTATTTTTTCTTTGAAGCTGAGTTATTTTTCCGATGAATATATATTGTTAGCTTTTTTTAGTGTGAGATTAAACCGTCTTAATCAGCAGCGATACCTGATTATATTTTTAAATTCAGCCACTCGAATGAGAAGCTACGAAAAAAACATTTTAGTAAGTTACAACGTACGACATTTAAAATATAAATCTTTAGAGGCAGTTTTTTTTTATAAACGCCGTTAATAAAACCATCCGTTAAAATAGATTTTCTCGGCATAAGTAACAATTTGAAGCAAATAGTTGCCTAAATGGACACTTTAAATTAAATAGATGAACTCTTTGAACTCAAAACCCATTTAAACCAATTATATTTACATTTCCCACACACAATTTCAATAATTATTTGTAAAAGAATAGAATAGAATAGCCATTGTTGAGTAGTTAGCCCAAACAAAATGGATTTGCAATTCAGCAATTATCCCTTCAAGTCGGTTCAATTAAGAGACAAAATTTCTGGTTTATTTGTGTTGCGTTTGTTTCTTATTCCCATTGCCTGAACTATACAGGCAATAAACCAAAGCCAAAAGCCGCCTTAACCCGACACATTTGGCCGAAAACCCTTTGATACCTGATACAGTATGTAAATTTTGCCAAATAAATTAACTCATTATTCGAGTGGGTGGAGTGTATCTCGCAATATTATTTCAACCTCCAGTGCAGGTTACACTCATCATCATCATCACGATGAGCTTAACAATGATGATGTGTATGTCATGTGAACTGTGAACTTGGGGGCGACGCCCACGCGGCGGATGCTTGATTTGTTTTTGCCCTTTTAAAGTGCGTGGTGCGTATTGTGCCTATATATATACACACATCTATATATCCATATATATGCATATATATATTCGTGCGGTTGCCTGGGTTTTAAAGGTTAAGAGTTGAGAGTGGGCGACTTTGCTCTTTTCCCAGTTGCGTGGCATTTGCGGCAGTTAAAACTGAAAGCTGAAAACTGAAAAGTAAGCAAGCGCGATAATGCAAGGTGTCGAGTTAATATATATACATACATATACGTATATATGCACCATAATGTGTGCGATGCGCCAACCGATTGTTGACAGATAGTGACTGTGCAAGGGGTTTTGAACCCTTTAAATAATCTACTGATTACCAGTGTCGAATTAGACATTTTAGTCAAAATAAGATATATGTATTCATGTATGTGTCTATTTTTGGTTACAACTGGTTTCAGTTTCATTTTGTAAATTATGCAATTATTAAAGCCTTCAATTTTCAAATGTGATTTATAGCTGTTAACGCAATAAGCAGTGTTCTTTTAACGATACATTGCACAATATGCAGTTAGGACTTTGATTTCATGGTAATTATTATTTTATGAGCATTAATTTCATTTCCCACAATTTGTATCTGTGCCTTCGACTAGTACAAAGTGTCATATTTGTAGTGCCAAGCCAACGATGATGCAATTATTCAGGCCCAAATACAAATACTAAACAGCATTTTCTATGGCTTCCATAAGGACTATCTGTCCGTCGTCGTCTGCCCCTTTCCACACTGACTCAATGCCGACGATACTGCAATGTTGCAGCAACAATCCGACAGATACGAATATACTTGTGAAGATACAAGGGAATATACATGCATACATACATAGATACATAGATACATACATACATACATACAGATGCGGATACAAACACAAGGAAAGCGGCATATTTCATAGCCCACAACATTCAGGCCAAGCTCAGGCCAAAAACCAAAGAAAACCCAAAGCAAAAAGCAAAAAAGCAGTGCAAAACGAGCAGCGAACCAAAGCAAAGCAAAAGCGAAGCAAACCAAAGCAAAGCAAAGCAAAGCAAAAGCGAAGCATAGCTAAACGCAGATACTCAGAGACATAAAAACGCGACACGAAAACGAAACTAAAAACGGAGGAGAAGCCCAACGGAAACAATGGAAAAAGTCGTTGGGATTTTTCCAACATTTTTCGGCCAGCAATTGGGGAAAGGGCCAACATAATATGCGAAAATCCAAATAGCCATAAAACAATTGGAAAATTTCCGTTTAATTGCTATTAAATAATGATAGATTATCCGGATGAGTCACAAATCAATTATCAATTAATCAAAAGATACTTTTTTTTTTCAAATAGACAGATACAAATTCAAAAACCCTATTCAATAATTAATCAAGATTTATTGAGAGCGAAAAATAACGGATAGGTCTAAAAACTAAAGATCTTTTTACCTTGATAAAAAACGGGACTTAAAATTATTGTATAATAAACGGAAAAAGTAATATTTACAGAGAAAAACTTTTATAATCAAGCAAATATCTACAGTATGGGTAAAAACAAAAAATCAACCCCAATTGATACGTTAAATATTCAACCAATAACCAATTGAAACCCCAAAGATAACAGCAAACATTCCACTTAATCAATCAAAAAAAATAAAATACAGGAACAAAAATGCACACACGCATCGTCCAAAAACAAGAAAAACAACAGGCGAAAAAAATAAAAGAAATACAGAAAGAAATCAAATCCAGCAAATAGGAATCTTTACATACATATTATACATATAAACAGACAAATGCGCGTCTGTCTCTGAATTTTTTTTTATGTTTTTTTAATTTTTGTATCTGCTGTTGGTTGGTGTGCGCTAAAAACAAAAACAAAACAAGAAAACGGTGCGCTCGTTGAAATAATCACGTTCCACTTGCAACAAAAAAAAAAAAGAGCAGCAGCCACAACAACAACAAAGAGGCGATGATAGCCAAAGCAATTGTTGTTGTTTTTTTGTGGGCACATGCCATCAACAACAACAAAAATAGCAACAACTAAAGAAGCAACAAAAACAACAAAAACAACGGCCAGCAGCAGCGAGAATAACAACAACATCCAGTGCACTAAACCTTCAGACTTTGCCAACACATAAGTGTTTGTATCTGTGTGTCATTATTTTCGTCTTGCCTTTTCCACACGTTCGCTGCGTCTTGAACGCTATTTTTTGTATAATTTCTTAAATATATCTGCATATATATTTTTTTTTAGTTTAAAGAAACACATGTTGTACATTTTAGGACAATTATATGGTTTGCAATATTAATTCAAAAGAAAAAAAAAGAGCTACTTGCGTATTTTTTTGTCAGCTAACAAAAGTAGGTTTTGAGTTTAACACGAAATAAAAAATGTATCCAAAGTGTATGCTTTTTTAAATGTATTCAAATGTGAAATAATAAGATGATGAAAATATAATCATACGTAAATATACGTAAGTGGGATTATTCAAATCAAGAGCAGTGTAATACCATTTGCTTGATTAATCAAATGAAAGGAGATTTATATATTGGGCATTTTATCTTTTCATTTCGCTATATAAGCAATTCCTTAACCGTTAACTGTGGCACCACGCCCCCCCTTTTTTTTTTTTTTTTTTTTTTACTTTTTGGCCCACCTGCTCTTGGCCATATTTAATCTATTTATCTCTCTATCATCAGCGAGCATGCTTTCTTTATTTCTTCTTCTTTGTGGCCCGCTCGTGTGCTTTCTTTCATCAAAGAGCCAAAGGAGAAAACAAACAAACAAACAATTCAACATACCGTTACACGCTTTGCAAAGTTAATTCATCGCCGATTTTCCTTTTGGTCAGTGCCTCGCGTTTCCGTTTTTTTTTATTTTTTTGCTTTTGCTTTTGCATTTGCCATTCTGCTTTTGCTTTGTGCCTTGTGCTTTGTTTGACATGTTTTCTCTTCCCCCCTTTTACACAAAACACACACGTACGCACACGGAATATGTGAAATAAAGTGTGTATGGTGTATTTTATGCTCATGTGCTTATTATTACCCTGTAGCCTGTAGCTTTCCTGTAGTTGTAATCGATAATTTAATTACGAACAAAAATATGTTAAACGGTGAAATTGAAATAAGCACAGGGGTTTATAAGTGGTGTTATACGGTCATGGGTTAAATATGGTGGAAAAGCGATTGCAACGGGGGAATGAGGATATGCAGGAGATAGCGATGAGCGATAAGTTATCGCTCGTTGTTAGCCATTGCTCTTGCAATGTGGCAATCAATTTTGTTGATCGATTGACTTGCATGCTGTTTTTGCATCTTATTTAGACGACTATATGTAGGCTTTAAATGAAAAGATTTTTATAACAAGAAAAGTTATATGTAGGAATTTGCTAATTATAAGATCTTATAAAAAGAAAGAAAATATATCTTGTCGTAATATGGGGCAAGATAAAGTATGATGTAAGGACGTTTATCTACCAAGAAGAAAATAAAATAATATAGTAAATTAAAGCACTATAAAATTAATGAAAATACAAATACACGCAAAATTTTGGTTTAAATTTCAACTAGCTTAGCTTATGTCAAACTGAATCTAAACAAGTTGAATTTTTTTTGGTTATTGTTGTTGCGTTAGACGAAGACAGTTTAGGATGTTTATCTACACAATATC